TGTCTGTACTTCTTGTAGTCCATGGTATTTTAATATTCTCCAACACCACAATTCAAATGTTATTGATTCTCCTACAGCCTTGCTTATTTATTGTACAACTTTCACATTCATAGGAGGTGATTGAAAATACCATGGCTCCTCAAGCTGACATCTTTCTTCTTGAACACTTTAAAGAGGTCTTGTGCAACAGATTTGTCTAATTCAATAGGTCATTTGATTTTCTGACTGCTGCTATGAGTGTTGATTGTGGATCCAAGCAAAATGAAGTCTTTGATAACTTCAATCTTTTCACCATTTGTCATGATGTTATTTATTGGTCCAGTTGTGAGGATTTATGTTTTCTTTACATTGAGGTGTAATCCATACTGAAGGCTGTATGTAGTCTTTGATCTTCATCAATAAGTCTTTTAAGTCCTCTTCACTTTCAGCAAGCAGAATTGTGTCATCTGCATATCGCAGGTTGTTAATGAGTCTTCTTTCACTCCTGATTCCTTGTTCTTCTTCATATAATCCAATTTCTCAGATTCTTTGCTCAGCATACAGACTGAATAAAGTATGGTGAAAGAATACAACCCTAGTGTACATCATTCTTTATTATAAACCATTCAGTATCCTTTGATTCTATTCTAATGACGGCCTCTTTTTTTATGTGCATTCATGTAGAATTTTTAAATGATGAGGGGCAGAGACCATTAAAAAAAAAAGAACATAACTAATAAAGTGTGATAAGTGCTATGACAAAAATAAATAAATAAATAAATGAAAACCATGATGGGTTAACTTTTGTCAGGGCGTACTTTCTGAGGAGACCTTTAACTGAAACATTGAAGGCTAATGACTGAGCCTTGAGACAAAGCCGGGAAGAGGGGTGCCGGACTGAGGGAAGTGGACAAACTGCACAGTTTTGTTAAGGATTTACATGCTAATAAAAACAGAAGTCATAAGTCATCATTCCTGTGATACTTGCTATCAACATATCTTACATTTCTTGCTCAGCTTATTGAAATCATAGTCAATTCCCAGTGATTTTACTCATCTTTGATATGATTAGTAAAAAATAAGGTTTTACTCATCTTTGATATGATGAATACAGGATATCACAATATTCTTATTTTTTTCCATTTGTTTTTGAAACAGTCCAGTGTCATCCTGTTTTGAATGTCAGGAGCAAATGATTAGGAAGGAAGGATCTGGAAAAGCAAGTTTTATCAGTTAGGCTGTTTTCCAAAGGAGATATCAGAAGACTCAACTGTACATAGGTTAAGTGCATGGGTTCTTTTGACTTCCTTAACAAGTCTGAGCTAGGGCTGTTCCATGGTAGATTAACACTGTGTTACACCCACACACATATTTCCAGGAACCCAGGTTATCTTCATCTTTGCAGTCTCTCATCATTGGTATGGTAAGAGTTATCCCCTCATGGTCACGGAGTGGCTGTAGTGTTGGCATTATATTAATGCCACGGTGAAAGAAGGAAGGGCATTTCTTCTTTAGAAAAAAAAGAGAGAGAAAGAGATGGAAACACTTTAACTAGGATGCCTCGCTCTCTTCTGGTCATATCACATGCCACTGAATAAACTAATCCCTATCCAATAGCTTGAGACCATCTGTCTCCTCTAGGTGCATTAAAGGTTGAAAATCCAACAAATTTTTTTTAAAAAGGCTCAGCGAGGAAACAGAGATTCGACAGAAAGAACCAATGGCTGTTGGGAAGACAATCAGGAACTTGGACCTCAGTAGTCCATGATTTTACTGATATTACTAAGAGTGCTGATACTAGTGAGCTGCAGAACTGTTCTTCCTGGCTCTTCATGTGTTTTTCTTCAGACTTAAATGTTTGGTTTGTTCCCAGCACTATGGGTGAAATGGGGAGAAGCAGAATCCTAATGTTTATTTATGTCCTTGGCCTTTACTGGTGCTTTATCATATCAGTGCAGTGATGCCTTGACAGATTTACAAGAAACTTTTTTTTTCCTTAGAAATATCTTATCATGAAATACATATAATACTGTATCATGAAATGTAATATATAAATACATAAGGAGTTTAATATAGATATATATGTTTTGTTGTGGTTATTAAGTGCTGTTGAGTCAGTTCCAATTCATATCCACTCTATATAGGGTTTCCAAGAAGCAACTGGTGGGTTTGAACCATTGTTCTTCTGGTTAACTGTCCAGTGTTCATCTTACAGTACCATACCAAGACTCCATATACAGTACCATACCAAGACTCCATATATATGTTATAAGACTGAAGAATTATATAGTAGGTAAATTGGTTTCATAAAATAATTTGAAAAAATAGTTTTAGAAGCAATGAAGAAATGGGCTGAGTTTAATCGCATTCCATAGACTCCCGTTGACCTGGAGATGTGAGAGAGAAGAGGAAGGGCTGGTTGGTCCAAAATGTGGGATACCTGGGGACTCCTGAACCCATGGACAAGGACTAAGCCACAGAGGGTTAGAGCTGAGAGTGAAGCATCTAGCTGATATGGAGTGAGAGGAGGTGTACAAGAACACTCAAAGTTTCAGATAGTACCCACTTGACCTAGCCTTTGTTGTTGTTATTGTTGTTAAGTGCCATCGAGTCGGTTCCGACCCATAGCGACCCTGTACAGGGTTTCCGAGGGTGTAAATCTTTACGGGAGTAGAAAGCCTCATCTTTCTCCCGCGGAGCGGCTGGTAGTTTCGAACCGCTGACCTTACGGTTCGCAGCCTGATTCGTAACAACTACGCTACACATAGGTAGACCTAGCCTAGATAGCTTAATAATCAGAACTTGACTAGAGGAAGATTTAAAAAAAAGAAAGAAAGAGAGAAGCAGTGATGACTGAAATGGAGACAGAGATGATGACGTGGAGTGATGGAGCAGCTGGAGACTTTAGATCGATCCAGAGAGAGCGACTGTGTGCTGAAGACCTGGGGGGTACGGGTGGGGGGGAGAAGTGCTGCATGGAGGGGATTGTAACCATGGCAACGAGACAATATACGATAGAATGAATGTAAAATTAATGTTCTCCCATGTAAACTATCACATAATTCACAATAAAACATTTAAGAAAAAAAAACAAGAAGAACAAAACAATTTTTGATAAAGGAAACGCAGATAAATTGCTACAGTTTGATGAACTTGATCTATCCTCATGAAGGTAGTAACTCTAACTACCAAGAGAGAGGGAAGAAGTCTTCACATTAAGTATCAATGCTATCCCCTCTGTACACAGGGTGGATAGGGATGGGTAACTTAGACATTGGATACCTAAAATGAGGGGGCAATAAAGGCACGAAGTGACTGGCTTACAAGGCTTCAAGGGGAAGTTTAGTTTAATAGTGGAGGGAGGAAGAAAGAGTCACCACTGAATAGTTTTCATCGTGTCTAGATGGGTCTGGTTAAAAGAGATGGGGATAAGATTCTTATGATTCAATAGTGAGTAATTGTTATCATGACTAATTGCAACTGTCATAATTGTAAAGGTAGAAGTTTTGTAACAAAAACAAGGAATTAGTTAATCTTACAGTTCAGAAACAAAGGACCCTAGGACCATCAAGGGAGAAGAGCACAAGTGGAACGTGGGACCTTATCCAGAGAAGCAGCGATGCCAGAGATGGAGGCAGAGCTGGGAACATGTAGAGAGGGAGCCAGCTGAGGACTCTAGATTGTTGGGAAGAGAGGGACTAAGAGATGGTGGCCAGGAGGCAGATTTTCAGAATGTGCCCTTTGGTGGTATAAATTATTATATATACCTGAGTGTTTAAAAAAAAAAGAGCTAAAGTGAATAGAGAGAAATACTGTTAAGTGATAGTTATTGGAGGGAAATGTAATCATTGTAATTAAACAAGGTGCATGGTTTGTTGAATGTAAAATGGATGATCTGCCCTGTAAACTTTCACTCAATCCTTAAAATGCTGACCTTGCAGTCCAGGGCTTATCCTGCAGCACCACACCACAACTCCAGATGTTTGCTGGAACAGAAAGTCTTATCTTTCTCCTTTGGAGCAGCTAATGGACTCCAACCATGGACTTTGTGGTTCGCAATCCAGTTCATATCAGTATACCATGGAATGGGCAATCATTCAAGATCAAAAGGCAGCAGTGTTTGCCTAAGGACAAAGTTGAGAAGGAATGGAAAAGAGGGTGGAATGGAAATAAGAACCACAGAGAAGAAGTGGGAAAACTGTTATTTTATGGATGGGATTGCAGTCATAGCCATGAAGTGAACGGTATGATCTCTTGAATATAAAGTTGAACATCTCTGTAAACCCTCACTCAATTCGCAATAAAATCTTTAAAAAATAAATAAATAAAACCTATGACAAGGCAAAGCCAAATTTTAAACCTGTGTCATTACAAATCACATCCTTTTTTTTTTTTTTTCACTTTCCATTGCTGCCTCCTTGAGACAAAAACAGAAAGTTTCCCTATCCTTAGAATTTACCACTTACTAATCTATAGCTATGAGTCAATTTCCACTCAGTACAGAGTAGAACTGCTCCATGGGGTTTCCAAGATTGTAAATCTCTATGGAAGCAGACTGCTACATCTTATGTGGATCCTCTGGTAGGTTCAAACAGCCAACGTTTCGTTTAGCAGCTGAGCATATAACCACTATGCCAGCAGAAGTCTTTCCACTGAGGTATGTTGTTAAGTGTTGTCGAGTTGGTTCTGATTCATAGTGACCCTGTATAGGGTTTCTGAGGAGCGTCTGGTGGGTTTGAACCATTGACCTTGTGGTTAGGAGTTCATTGCTTATCGTATAGTGTTACACTAGGATATTTGAACTGTCTCTGAAAACTGGTTCCAATTAATATAACCTGAGCTGCTGAAACTAGCTTTTATGATTCTTTCCATAATTAGTTTCAGTAGCTGTACCATAAAGAAAGAATGGGAGTGACATGCTGACTCCTTGTTCTGTCTATCCCTTTGTTGGACTTGAATGTTTCAGTTCGGATTTATATGCCTGACAACTGACTAAACGGCCTTGTGTTTTTGTCCTGCAGGGGATTTCCAAAGAAAGCAGGTCGAACTGCTAGAATAGCCTCTGATGAAGAGATCCAAGGCACAAAGGATGCTGTCATTCAAGACCTGGAACGGAAACTTCGCTTCAAGGAGGACCTACTGAACAATGGCCAGCCGGTATGGGGCCTGGGCTTGGAATATTCTCTTTCATATCAAAGAACTTTACCGTGGCTTCACTGAGACTTAGGTTCTTAAAATTAATTCTATTACCCCTGAATCTCAGTGTTCTTCATAGTATCATGGCTAAAGTTTGGGGAAGGGTAGAAAGTAAAAGGGCTTCCTTCTACTCAGCCTTCACCACTCCCTTATACTCCCAAACCATTCTTGGAGTGAAGATAGCAAAGGAAGGAAGAAGGACAGGTTTAAAATGAAACAAATTAGAATGGCAAGTGTAATAAGTGTGTAATAGAGATGTTAAAAAAAAAAAAAGAGGCACTTGAGGATTCCATTTCCACTAGGTGGGATTAAGAAGGAAGGCAAGAGATGTGCTCTGGAATGATTTGCTTCAACCCAGATGCAGTCAGTTGGAATTAAAGCACCAAAGTAGAATTTGAGATTCTATGGCATGAGCTACTTCTGCAAGAAGTAAATACCTTCACTAGGGAAACTGTTGCTGAGGTCTAGTTCTATTCTATAAGACTAGTACAGGATATTGATTCAGTATTCTGAGAGAGTAATGCTTCACCTAAACATCTTCCACTACTACTTGTCCACTATTCATTCTTTATTAAATACCATAATTTGAATTTTGGGACTTTTTATAATTTAGCTTGTTTTACTTCCCAGTTCCAACTGGGGCTAAAATCAACAATTACTGGAAATTATAAATTTATCTAACACATTTTCCTAACTAGAGAGTTTTCAGTAGATTTGTATTTGTAGTCAGAGCATATATCTGAAATAACCTCTGAATTTACAAAATAGATTCTGCTTCACTATTATTCCATTATTCTCTATCCCTGGACTTCTTATGATTTTAGATCAAATACATTTTTGTAAACTGTCTCTGATAGGTCAGATCATCTCTGAACAGTCCTCCTTGATTTTAATTTTAAGGCACTATATAATATAGGTGATCCTGGTGTGGTGCTGTGGGTCAATGTGCCAGACTGCAAAGCTGTTTGAACTGAAAGGTCAGCAATTCAAGCTCACCAGCTGCTCCTTGGAAACCCTATACAGGGTCACTATCGGTCGGAATCGACTCAACGGCACTTAACAACAACAACAACATAGAATATACAGTCTAGAGAACAGGAGCAGGAAATACCACAAAAGACAAAACAAGAAAATGTTAGCAATTCCCTTAAATAGTGATAGCCTAGTAAAAATGGTATGGGGCTGTTGGATCAGCACTGAACTGTGAACCACAAGGTCAGCAGTTCAAATCCATCAGCTGCTCCTTGGAAACCCTATACAGGGTAGCTGTGAGATGGAACAGACTCGACAGCACTTAACAACAAGTAAAAATGGTTGTGACCTATTCCAAAGTGTTGGTTACAAGATGTAAAATCACTGCCACTTTCTTTGCCTGATGAACAAGCAGTGTGACTTTGAGTAGAATCATGACTTGTGCATGAAAGGTATTTTGGCAAGAATCGTTTATAATTCTGTTTTTAATTTCACCATGTGCAGCCATTTTTTGTGAGTTATTATATTTATCTATATTACACAGCACCATGGAAATGATCTTAAAGGTGAGAACCCCAAAGCAGAGAAGGCCGTCACTGCCAGCTCCTCTGAAACGTCCCTTCTCAGAGTTTAGGGAGCTGATGTGGTTGTATTTAAGTCTAGGGAGGACCATGAGTAAAATATTCCCCATAAATAGTATTTTGCTGTTTGAAATCTTCTTTCTTTCCTCGTTATCAATGAAGATAAGTATACAACACATTTTTCATGTAGTTTCTACCTTAACTTTTTTTGCTTATTCATAGTGACCACATGTACAGCAGAATGAAATCCTGTCCCATTCTTCAGAATCATTACTGTGTTTTAGCCAGTGTTGCAGCCATTGTGCCCGTCTGTCTCGTTGACATCTTCCTTGTTTTTCTGACCCTATACTTTACCAAGCATGATGTCCTTCTTCAGAATTGTCTCTCCTCATAACATGCCTAAAGTGTGTGAGAAGACTTGTCCTTGCTTCCAATAAGGCTGCGTGCACTTCTTCCAAAAAAAATTTGTTAGTTTTTCAAGATACTCTCAATATTCTTCACCAACACCATCATTCAAAGCCATCATTTCTTCTTTATTCATTTTTCAGTTTTCCCATGCAAATGAGACAATGAAAATGACCATTATTTGGATCAGGCCCACCCTTGTCCTCAAAGTGACACCTTTGCTCTTTAACACTTTAAAGAAGTCATTTGTAACAGATTTGCCCAATCAGTACATCCTTTGATTTCTTGACTGCCGCTTCTGTGGGTGTTGATTGTGGATCCAAATAAAATCCTTGACAATTTCAAACTTTTCTCTGTTTATCATGATGTTACTTATTAGTTCAATTGTGAGGATATTTATTTCCTTGATGTTGAGATGTAATCTATATGCAAAGTTATAGTCTTTGGTCTTCTTCAGTAAGTTCTTCAAGTCTTTTTCTCTTTCAGCAAGCAGTGGTATGTCATCTGCATAGCAAAGGTGGTTAATGAGTCTTCCTCTAATCCTGATGCCCTGTTCTTCATATAGTCCAGCATGTCAGATTATATGCTCAGTGTAAACATTGAATAACTATGGTTGAAAGGATACAACCCTGACACACATCTTTCCTGATTTTACACTATTCAGTATATTCTTGTTCCTTTTGAATACTTGTCTTTTGATCTATGTACAGGTTCCACTTGAGAACAATGGAGTGGAGTGTTCTGGAATTCCCATTCTTCTCAATATTAGCCATAGTTTTTTTAGGATCCAAACAGTTGACTGTTTTTGCCAGTCAGTGAAACACATGTAACATCTTTCTGGTATTCTCTGCTTTCAGCCAAGATCCATCTGACATCAACAATGATCTCTCTTTGTTCCACAACCTCTTCTGAATCTGGGAGTTTCCTGTCCATGTGTTGCTGAAACCATTTTTGAATAATTATCACCAAAATGTGTGATATTAATGATATTGCTGATAATATCTGCATTCTGTTGGATCATCTTTCTTTGGAATGAGCACAAATACAGATCTCTTCCAATTGGTTGGCCAGGAAGCTGTTTTTCAAATTCCTTGACATAGATGAGTGAGTCCTTCCAATGATGCATCACTTTGTTGAAACACTCAATTGGCATTCTGTTGATTCCAGGGGCCCTGTGTTTTGCCTAGATCTGCAGAATAGGTTACATTTCTTCCTTCAATACCATTGGCTCTTGGTCATATGCTACCTGCTGAAATGACTGAATGTTGACCAATTCTTTTTGGTACAGTTACACTATGTATTCCTTACATCTACTTTTGATTGTCCCTGCATTGTTCAATATTTTGCCTGTTGTTGTTAAGAGCCAGTGAATCAGTTTCAATTCATACCAACCCTATGTAGGGCTTCCAAGGAGTAGCTAGTGGGTTTGAACTGCTGACACTGAGGTTAAAAGTCCAGTGCTTAGTCTATAGCACCACACAAGGACTCCATTTTGCCCATAGAATCCTTCAGTATTATAACTGTAGGTTTGACTTTTTTTCTTCAGTTCTTTCTGTTTGAGAAACGCTTAGACCTAACGAGACATGTGGGAAGACTTTAAGGACATCATTCATGAAGTAACCATAAGGTCTACCAAAATTCTATCATGCAATCTCCAAAGTTGTTTCTATCACCTGGTCATGTTTTCCAGCTATTCCTCTTTCTTTGTTTCTAACTTTTGCATTCCAATCACCAGTGCATTCCAATCAATGCATCTTGATTGTGTTTCTTAGCAATTTTGTATTACAGAAGTTGGTTGAAATTTTTCAGTTTCTTCATCTTTGGCAATAGTGGTTGGTGTGTAAGCTTGAGAAATGGTCATATTACCCGGTCTTTGTAGTCATATTACCCTGTCACTGGTAGAAATGTACTTCAGAATAGATCCTGAAGTATTCTTTTGACAATAAATGTGTTGCCATACCCATTTGTACTCATTCTGTGCAGAGTAGTCCATGTATCTGTCCAGTTCATAATGGTCAATACCAGGCTGCTTCAGCTCATGAAAGCCTAGAAAATTACTTTACACATTCCTTTTCATTTTTGAAAACATTCACTTTTCCTAGATTCAGGCTTCATATATTCTGCATCCCAATTGTTAATGGATGTTTGCAGCGTTTTAATTTCAGTTTTGTGTTGTGCCCCATCAGCAAATGAAAGTTCTGAAAACTTTGCTCCATCCATGACATTGTGGTTGGTTCTACTTCGAGGAGGCAGCTCTTTCCCAGTTATATTTGGGTGCCTTCCAATCTGAGGGATTCATCTTCCAGCACTACATCAGGCAGATTTCTGCTGATATTTATAAGATCTTTACTGGTCATTTTTTCCAAAATTATATCTCCACATCTTCCTTCCTAGTCAGTCTTAATCTGGAAGCTCCATTGAAACCTGTCCACTGTGGGTAATTCAAATACCTACTGGTTGGAAGACAACTGTCTGGCCGACTGATTGGAAGAGATCAATGTTTGTGCCCATTCCAAAGAGAGGTGACCCAAAGGAATGCGGAAATCATCGGACAATCTCTTTGATATCTCAAGTGAGCAAAGTTTTGCTAAAGGTAATACAGAAACGGCTACAATCATACATTGACAGAGAACTTCCAGAGGTTCAAGCTGGATTCA